TGTCACTGTTTAATGACATGAGTCTCCCACAACACTTAATGCCTGTATCGATGTTTGCTGTCTTTCAGTATGGTGTTCAGCTGATTTTAATATGATTGCCATCAAATTAGTTTTGTACTGAAATAGGTTTATTCAATAGTTAGTGAAGAATGTCTCCCACAGGCAATTATTATTAAAAGAACACTTTCTTCCAAAAGATTGTTAGCAAAATTTAAAAAGTATTTCTTGTGTATGTTGTCATGAACACACACCCATTACAGTTAGAATAGTATAGTAAATAGGGCATGTATTTCATACTCTTACTATAGTCCAGACAAATATTTGGACAGGGAAATGAGAAGAACATTTTACATCATCCACTCTCCAACTCAGAATGATCAGACTGACAACTGTTACTTGCAATGTAAAAGCATGTTTTGAATTCATATTTCATTTTAAAAGGGTATAAACATATATATGTTCATGGGGAGAGAGACTTTTAACCATGACCTGAACACAAAGATTGGAACCCAGAATTGGATGTGGGTTTTACCAACAAGGTCTTTAAAATAAGCCTAAGTCAAATTTCCCTGGACTTCTTTTTCCCCTCTCCCACTCCCAAACTCTAGGAAAGTTACAAACATGCTATACTTAAGAGTGATCTAAATGTCCCCTAAACGAAAAAGATGCTGCAGTACTGCACACTATTTAAAATTAGCATACTTGTACTACTTCCAGATTGTGAGGAATGGCAAAACAGGAAAAGGGGTATGTCTTCCTCAGTCTCTTTACATCCTCCTTTCAAGAAAACTCTAGATTACACCAAGGTTATACCAGCTTTTTACTGTAGTCCACACAAGGATCAGCTCTCCCAGATGTGTTTATATGGATCATATGTAAGTTGACAAATTGGGATATGAATCCCCATGTTTCAGGCCATAAATTAACCACCAACTATAATTAGCATAATTCTTCCCCTTCCAGAAAAGTATTTTCTATAAGTGGCCACTAGGTAGTTCCTTGCATATATGGTTAAAGCAAATGGAATATATTCTTTGTAGAACTGGGGCCATCTTCCATCATGTACACTACATAACCTGCTTTTGGTATTAATGCAGTATGAATCTATATTTTAACACACACACAAGCAAAGATACTAGGGCTGTGCAAAACTTCGCCACCAGTTTTGTTTTGATGCTGTTTCGACCCATTGTGAGGTCAAAACAGCAAAATTGAAACAGAACAGGTATAGTTGTGGTAAAAATGTCTCATGATCCCTTATTCTCAATATACAGGGCCTCACAGCTGAACTGTGAGCTGTTTCTTCTTTCCTCCTGCAGTAGATAAGCAGTGTCATAATAAGGAACAGTCCAGGCAACGCTCGCTTTATAATAAGACTCAAGGCCTCCTGTTGGAACACACAAATTAACTCTTGCTCTGCACATAACTCATGTTACAACCATCATACTCGCTCATTGCCCTAGAGTTACACCAAGATACAAGGTTACTAAAAGGCATTAATTTTGCCGCAGTTCCTCTTTGAACTGCGCATGCGGCAGGCCTTTTGCCGCAGTTCCGTCTTAGAACTACGCATGCACTAAGCTTTGCAAAAAGTATAACCAATCACGTATCGCCACGCTGGAACCTATTGTTCATGTTGGCTATAAAAATGGAACTTCGGGTGGGGCTCGGGGTCGACTTTGCTTTGAGCACTGAGCTCCTCTGTCGAACTTGTTTGCAAACAATAAACTCGAGTTGAACCCAGCCTGAGTGTGTGACTCTCTCCTTGAGGTAAACTGGACAAGCCTCCAGGGGCACGAAACTAGCAGTTTGTGCAACATAGTCGAAACAGCCTAGAAACAAAACGAGGCAAGTTGAAATGTTTTGCCATTTCATCTATAAGCTATAATGGAAAAGGTTGAAACAGCCTATAACTGTCAGTTCTGGCCTGATTTGGATGAAACTTGCAGGAATAGTAGCCCCTTCTGAGGGCATGAAACCTGCCAAGTTTCAAGGAGATAGGTGCAGGGGGTTTGGGGAAACTGCACCTCAAAATGTTGAAAACAAAACTCATGTCACGTGTATGCGTTAAGCCACAGCAGGGTCAAAAAAGCAGGCATGCTAGCCCTTGCTGCGGCCATAAAGCCTGCCAGCTTTCAAGGAGATAGGTGCAGTGGCTTCTGGGTCCCGGGTCCCTGCACCCCTAGCTGCTGATAGGCAAAACTCGTGTCATGGGTGCTTGTGCAACTGTGTCCATCTTAGGACACAGGGGGAAAAAACTACTGCAGGCCTAGCTGGTAGGCCCTGCTGTGGCCACAAAGCCTGCCAGCTGTCAAGGAGATAGGTGCAGGGGGGTTCTGGGACCCTACACCTCTAGCTGCTGACAGGCAAAACTCGTGACATGGGTGCTTGTGCAACTGACTGTGTCTGTCTTGGGGCAGAAGCAGTTCCTGGCTCTGTATTGATTCTTTCCTCTCCTTAGTTGGTGGTTTCATAGGTGTTAATCCTTGCTCATTAACTCATTATTGTAGCTAGCTACTGTGTATTGAGCTGGTCCCTAAGTGAATCATGATTGCTTGCGTAACACAGTAGCTAGCTAGGATAACGAGTTAATGAGCAAGGATTAACACCTATGAAACCACCAACTAAGGAGAGGAAAGAATCAATACAGAGCCAGGAACTGCTTCTGCCCCAAGACAGACACAGTCAGTCCCACAAGCACCCATGACACAAGTTTTGCCTGTCAGCAGCTAGAGGTGTAGGGCCCCAGAAACCAGAAGCCCCTGCACCTGCTTCATGGCCTCAGCAGGGGCACCCTGCTGCGCCTTAACACACACAGTGTCACTCATGTCACAAGTTTTGCTTATCTGAAGCTTGAGGTACAGTTTCCTCCAAACCCCTGCACCTATCTCCTTGATACTTGGCAGGCTTTGTGGCCTCAGCAGGGGCTAGCATGCCTGCAGTTTTGACCCCGCTGTGGCTTAACACATGCATGTGACACAAGTTTTGCTTTCAAATATTTGGGGTGCAGTTTCCCTGAACTCCCTGTACCCATCACCTTTAAACTTAGCAGGCTTCATGCCCTCGTAACAGGCTACCATTCCTGCAAGTTTCATCCAAATCAAGCCAGAAATGACAAAGTTATAGGCCGTTTTGTCCTTCCCCATTATATCCTATGCGCAAAATGTCAAACTAGTTTCACCATTTTGACGGAAAGGAACGGAACAGCTGTTTCGAATCCAAACAAAATTCAAAACCAAATGCTGTTCTGTCGAAACACTGGTCAAAACGGAACGCTGCCGTTTTGCACAGCCCTAAAAGACGCCCTTAATGAAGTAGGTACCATGCATAGAAAATAAACCCAACCTGGCAACATTAAAACAGCCTGAGTTGAAATGAGCTCTGTAAAAAATTGTTTAATGCAGTTTACAGTGTTCATCAATATGAACAATTCACGACAATGGAGTAAGCCTACCATCTCATGAGACATGTACAACATTGATTAGAAAGAACTGAATCACTAAAAGATTGTCATTAACAATGTTGTAGTAGCAAGTTAAGCTGTGCATGTTAAAGGACCACTGTCAACTTTTAACTCATTTTATTTAAACAGACTAAATTTAGTGTCATTCAGCTACTACAGCTGAACTACTTCTTTGTGCCGCTGGTTTAAATTTTACAATCAGTTTTGGTTTGTTTTTTTTTAAATAGAAGAAAGTTACATGCAAACAATTGTTTCACCCGACAGCTGAAATGCTGTCAAAAATGAATTAAAAAAAAAGAAAATACATACTATTTCTCCATTAAACTAAATAGTAGCTGTCACGTTTTTACTAGATAAAGTTATACATGCAATATTAAGTTAATTGTATTCCTCTAGAACAGTGGTTCTCAACCTTTGGTATCTTACGTACACCCTGCCAATCGATGTGGCAAAAGTGAAACCAGAAGTCCCACCGTGGCACTTCCAGTTTCGCTGCCACGAGCCGAGTCCCACTTTTTCCACCACATCCCAGGGCAAAGCAGCCTGTGCGCGTCCTCCCTCCCTATCCCCCGGCACACTGATGCTGGGGAGTGAAAGCTCCGGTGCACCGGACATGGTGGGAGGGGCAGTGGCTGGAATTTCCTGCCCAAGCAGGCAAAGACCAAAATGCAGCACCCACATACCCCCTGCCCGTGTTTCACGTACCCCCAGGGGTACACGTACCACAGGTTGAGAAACACTGCTCTAGAACACAAATTCATTAATACCCTTGGTTTTGCACATGAACTCTTTACAATAAGTATGATTTGTAACTTAAGGTCTGTAACTTAAGTGGCAAACAAAATCAAATCCTTTACATTTTTAAAAGAACCTTCTGCCTACAATTCTAGAAGACACTTGTGCTCTTCAGCAAATGTTCACTTTCCTGTAGTTATAGTTAACTTCCCGACACTCATTTAAAAAAGCTAACAGGACAAAATATAATATGAAGATAATCTTTTTGATCTTACTTTCAAGGACAGAGTGGAATTTAAAAAATGCTTTATACCTTGATTTAGCTGTGCTCTCACTAGTCACTTGTAGAATTCCTTTGACACGAACAGTCCAGCTACTGCTAACTGTTTTTGAAAATCCGACCCTTCATTTCATTCCTG